TCAAGTGAAACACTTGAATAGACCTTACTAAATCAGAATAAGAATAATGGTGCTGCCATGCGCATGACACATATTTAAGTTACCTATATATTTGCGCAATTTAGTCAGGAATAACTAAGCCATGACAAAACAAGGCAGGAAATTTAATAATAACACATAGTTGCCGGCTATTATCTCAAAAATATCAACTGAATTCCTTAATTGTCGCAGTATGACCCTTTTGGCAGGGAACTTGCTCACGTGTGGCTTTTAAAAAACGAACCCATCACCCTTTTCCAGAAGAGTTTTTCTAACAAAAGTAAACCTGCACTTTATGAATGCATCAGGGATGTATTGTGCAAGGTCGTTGATTATACCGCATTAAAAACCGGGGCAAAATAAAACAGAGCCAAAGAAATCAGCTTTCCTATTGATTAAACCCTCATAAGAAAACAACATACTTAACACCAGCAACCTAGCAAAGGTATGCTTTCTTTTAATTAAAACAGATTGCAAAATACAAGGTGAAGTTCAAGCAGGCATACAAATCAGCAAGAGTGTGGGAGAATTGAAACAGAGAAGTGTATAATGTATGAAGTGAGGGTCATGACATAAATATCACAGTTTCCAGTTAAAAATGTAATTAGAATCCTAACAACATTTTTCAGTTGCCCTTAGATAACAGAAGGTGTCTGTGGTAAGATATTGAGAAACATGCCCTGCTTCAGTATGGTAAAAACAGAATACACTAACCCCTTGCTATATGAACAGAGTGTTATACGAGTTTTCACTTAAACAAGATGTAGTAATTCCCACCTGTCATTTAATGAGTAATCTGATTTAATTTAATCTTAAAAGCTGGGCTCTCATAATGGTTTGCCTAGATTCATTTTTTCTTTTTATTTTCTTCTTTTTTACGTTTTGATTTTTTTAATTTTGATTGTACAGTACAGCATAGTACCATAATGTTTATTGCTAACAACTTTGCTAACCACTGTAACAATGTAACTACTGTAGTGTACCATAAATAAGCAGGAGTGTCATTGTTTTCCTATCTATGTATTATACATCGGCTAATACCTTGAAGCATATTAGTCAAATAATTAACCAGGAATGTTATCGTTTTCATACTTAAGTACCATTTTGTGCTGTATTAAGGTGAAGTTCGGGTGTTTGAGGAACCAAACACAGATTAGAACATGGGAAGCAATGGGAATTTTTTTTGTGGTATACGAGTTTTCAATTTACGAGCAGTTTTCGGGGAATGAATTTTAGTATTTTTTTGATAAGCTACAGTTATGACATCTAAGTATCTTTCTTCTTCACAGCAGAGAATGCCTACAAGCCCTCCTCTTCTGTTAAGGGCTCCACATCCGAAACCAAACTAAAACTCAATCACTCCTACCTATAATAATCTGAGAAAGTCTGAGTCCTGGATTGGTTTTATTATAATTATAATTACCAGCCAGTATCTTCAACAACATAAATTCCTATACTCTTTTAGCATTTAATGAATACTTCCGGAGTTGTTAAGGAAGCAAAGTGTTTCAGGTATAACAGGTATATTGCAAGGAAATGTCAACTTTAAAGAGGTTAAAGGGTTACATAAAATACATTCTCAACAGCCAAACATGAGTAACATGGAAAAGAAGCAAAAGTACATTCTGAACCATGACCCCAAAATAGCTAAAACAGTATGTGAATAGTATGTGAAAGACAAGCATCAAGTTGATTGGCTTGGATGACTAACACTATGATCAAAGAAATAAACCAACCAGCACAGTTACATGAGAACCACCAAAGAGTAAAGTGGGAACAGTCAATCAGGCTGATCTGGGCTCTCTGCAAGCACAGCAGTCCCACAGCAATTCACTCTCATGACCAATGAAGAAACTGCCTCTCCAGTATGGAGCTGCGTTGCCTCGCAGGCTCAAAGGTAGACAAGGCACAGTCAGCCTACAATTCCTCATTCTCCTCTGTCTGTGGTCTCTGGGTTCGTACTCAAGACCGGAGATGTGAAAAACAACTGGCAATACCAAAATTGGATGAGTTTAACAAAGAAGAATTGATGATTGCCAAATTGTGTTTAAAATTCTACATCTACACCACTGCATTTCTTCTCTCACAGATATACACGCAGATCCTTCTAACCAAACATTCACCACTCTGTACATACTGTATATTTTACAGTTCCTCCTATTTTCAGAGGCTAAGTATCGCAAAGCAAAGAACTAAAGCATTAAATATAAAGAAACAAGCCAAACAGTGTGCAATGTAAGACAAGCACAACTGCAGAATACTGTCTGGAATGCTGAACAGCCCAACATCAGAGTTGTTTTTCAAAGGCTATTTAAGGTAAAAGTGTGCTCTCAATCTTTTTTGTTTTAGCAATCAGGGATTCATCTACACAAAAGAACAGTAGACGCTTTTCATGCAAATTGCCAGACATTGGAAGCTTTTTCAGTGTTGAAACAGATTTAATACTACACTTACAGCAAACTGTAATTCACACTTCCTATATTTTTAAAATGTTTTTTTTTTCCAGCTATCGCATGTAATAATTCTTTAACAATATGATACATGCAGTAAGTTACATATAAGCTTGGATACCGTAGTGGGAACAATGCCCCTTTCAGTGGAACGTAGCTTTTTCTTCTTGGAAGAATTCCATTGGACTAAAAGGGAGTGAATTCACCTAATATATCAGTCTCACAAAAATATATGGATTTTTTTAATAAAGTTCAGCGAACGCTCAGCTAGTATTTTAGAATGTCAACAGATTATAAGGGAGGGAGGGAGCCCCCCTTGGCTGTCACTGTAATCTGAACGCTTTGATTTGGTGCAAGGAATTTCACCACCAAGGGTGTTATCCTCCACTCTCCTTAAGGACTCTATTAACAGATGCCAGAACACCTCAGCACACCAAAAATGTTCTTAATATGCATGCCCACCTCTGCCAATTACCAAGCACACCAGCACGTCTCAACAAACAAAACTGTGCCCTACATTAAACACGTACTTAAAAGAAGTAAAGCAGACTCAGTCTGTGAAAGGGTTTTGTATAAAATGTTAACCTAATATTGCCAACAGATGCAAAACTCAAAGCAATCAATTTCTACTGAATATGCGACATGAACTGGCACACTGGAACAAATTCTGTAAAGCTTTATGTAAAACTACTGCAGAGATGCTCAACTTTATATTAAGCTTTATCTATGTTTCTTGTGTGTTAGAAGCACAGGTTGTCCTTAATAATAGAACGGTAGTTAAGTCAATTAAAGAGTAGGGGTAGTTGAGATTAATATATATATATACGTTACACGGCAAATATATCATTTTTATATAAAGTAAATATAAAAATCCATCTACTAATACGTGCTATTACTTCATGGTACTTCATGGTATATACATAGAAATTATGTTATCTAATAATTTATTGATGCTCTTCAAAGGTGATTTTTCTTTCTAGCAATAATTAAGCATTAGTGGTATGTACTGTACATGAATAAGAAATGCAGGGAAGGTACCTGCAGGTTCAAGCTGATTTCAGCAACAAGAATTCTACTTGCAAATTAAATTTAAAGTTTATGTATTAGAGCTTAAAGTTTGAAGCCGCATCCAATCACAGAATTTCTATTCAGCTGTGAAATATAGATTACCAGCTTTGTCTAAGATCCTGGCTTTACTGGAATTTTGCTGGAACAGTCATTTTAATGAGCGAACATCATTTTTGGTGTAGAAAACAAATCTTTAAATTGTCATACTTTGCTGATGCTGCACAATTTGTTGAAACTTTTAATAGCTCCACAGGTGATTTATTGTTTATTGTTGCTAGCGGTCTTTCATAAGCAAAGACATTTGTCTTTTTCAAAACCACATCACAAGAAGCATATTTTTCGTGGGCATTTGACCAACTTGAAATAAATCACTTTAAACTCTTCAAGAATAATGTGGGTTGTGCTTTCTAATTGTGTCTTTGCCAAATAATAAATAATGCATGCTCCTTACACTGCAAGACATCGCAGGAGTGTAATCCTCAAAAAAATTTGAAATTGCCTTTCATGAAAAGAATACAAAGTACATTTAATCTATTTTCCAATGACATTTGAAGGAGATTTGCTTCCTGAGTCACTGGACATACATTTGTGTTGGTCATTCCTCAAAAACCTACCAATGTAAACACAATGTCTATATACGTACAAGTCTGACACATTTTTATTTTAAATTGTTAAAAGCCCTGCAGAAACCAGTCTTAGAAGTTTTCTCAATAAGCAAATAAAAAAACGCTGTCCATTAAAAACTTCTAGCAAATTAATGCTTTAATAAGGTTGTAAACAGCACATTCACATTTGCCTGTAAAGACTTTTTTAGGGAAAGTCTGTAAATGCAGCTTCAACATGTTGTCAGATTTGATTATGTAACCACTTCTTCAGCAGTAGATTAGGAAGAAAAACTATGTATGTAATTCTTCAAAAGTATAGTGCTACTCCATTTGCCTGAATAGCTCTGTGCAACAGAAATAAGGTTCTCCATACACATCCTAGGGATCATGATTACACCTGAAATAAAACCATTAATAGCAATACAAAAGAGGCAGATATAACAACAAAATGAAACAGAAAGGCAAAATCCATGACAAAACATTGTGCTTTAAATACTAATGACTCTAGTAAAAATATTCAAATAATACTGTGGTTACAAAAATCTAGGCTTATCACCATCTCTTGCTACAACTGTTTCAGTAAAACGTATGAAACTCTTTCCATCATTCACTTCACAACAAATGTTTGCAGTCGGACGTCCAATGCTTCATTCACTTCAGTGCGGCGGTGTGGTATCATGGGTGTTGTCTGTCTGACAATTCGTTGGCTAGAGAACTGCTGACAACATGTTTTTCTATCATGTCAAGGTTTAAAGGAATGCATGGAGATGTATAGCACTAGTTTTCTTAGCCCTTTATCCTTTGTGTAGCATTGGGGACCCACCTCTGTTGACATAAGTATTTGTTTTAATAATCTTACCTTTTGTACAATGTCTCATTGCCATTTTGCATCTCCTGGACTCAGCAATGGTGGGACAGGGTATTGTGTCCTTGGGCGGCTTTTTTACAATATGTCGCGTTCGGGTCTCTAGACCCCATTTGAAACCACAGGTCCTGTTTCTTCTGGTGCAAGTTCCCCACTCACTCCAGGGACCCACTTCACAGCCCTCTGTAGAAAAACAACAAAGTCCGTGACAAGGAATGATATATACCTATAACACACATCCTTAATATGAACGATTAAATAAGTGGTTTACCATAAATAAAATTAAAATATTAAAAATACCACAGCTCAGAATGAGAAATGGAAGAATTATCTCCTCTTTATCCTCTTCATTTTTTTTTCCAAAGCTCAGGATAAGAGCTAAACAGAGAAAAAGTCAAAAGCTACATAGCCCAACTGTGGATATAAGCAGAGATCTATTAAAGTCTTGGTTGACAAGAACTTCTTCCAAGACTTTTGGCAGGAGAATCTGGTTCAATGGTTCAAACATTCCAAAATCATGAGAAAGGTTTGATTCTTCAAGATTTGGAAACAACACCGAAATTGGGCTCACAATATCTAGATCTGTGATATGAGGTCAGAGTCATCTTTGGAGATTGGCTCATTGAATACCACAAAACGACTTTGGGCTGTCAGTTTTGATCTATTCAAGTAAGGTAAGCAGATGAATATGGTCTTAAAACATAGTACATTAAAAATATAGCTTGGTTTTGCTCTGAGCTATTTCCATTCCAAAACACATATTTTGGACAAAAATTAGATTAAATTCATTTACCCCCACATTCCATGCTGTCTTCTAAGGGTGCAAAGCCCTCTGGGCATTCTTCAAAGCAGCGTCCTTTGTGCAAATAAAACCCCGATTTGCACTTCGTACAAAAGTCTTTACTGAAACAAGAGTCACAATTCTCTATTCTGCATCCTGTGATTGAAAAAGAAAAGGAAACATTTGTTAAGATGGACAGTAACTTCGTACAGATTTGATGAAGAAAGCCCATTCAAACATTACTACAGAAACATTATGACATCCAAACAAATTTTTCAGTGAAGCATTGTACCCATTTTTGTTCCCCCGAGAAAAAACTTTCCTGACCATAATTATTTTATTTCATTCTTGTTTTCTGATATCTGGCCCTTTTCTTGCTTTACTGCAGTGGTAACTTTAAAATTAAATTTTCACCCACAGAAAAACAAAGAACAACTGTTTCCTTGAACAGGAAAGAATTATACTTTTTTTAAAAAAATGTAATTTGAACTATTTTAAGCTATTTCCTCTATTATAACAAATTAGTTAAGGTCTTTTCTTAAATTGGTTGAAAATGCAGTAATTGTACAAATGTTGTTGGTAATGTATTAAGGGGGTTCAAAAGTACCTTTCTCTTTCGATCTTTTGTACTGTTAAGAATAAACCGTATAAAAAAAATATACAAAGCAATAACCCAGATTGTAAAAGAAACAACAAAACTTCATCAAAATAATTCCATAAAAGAGGATGCATGTGGGATTGAAGGATTTCTCTTGTCCATGGCATAAATCAGCAGAATTTTTTTAAGCAATTTAAAAAGTTTTTAAAAAACTGATAGATCAAATGGAAAAATAAAGTTTTTCAATTTCGGGGACACACAGAGACGAAAAACAAGGTTTGGTTTTTTTATCTGCACAGCCCACAATTACGTTAGCTGCTGTTTTTGTTTCCAGGGAAGTCTTGACCACACACTAGAGGTGAAAAGGTTGTTATGGGCTGACATCCTGACCTACACTGGTATTCAAGCAAGACCTCAGAGTTCATGCACTGCTCTTGTCCTCGGAGCTATGCCATTAAAAGCGAGTCTTCATGAGAGTGCAGCTTTCCTCAGACTCCAATCTAAGTACTTCTGAAAAATGCCACATACTGTACAATGATGATGTACGTTATATTTTTTGCATAGCTCTGTTTAGTCTTTAAGTGCCCAATAAATTCCATGCACATCCCAGTATAATATTTCCATGTTGAAAGAGCCCCGACTTAATTAAAACACTAGACATAAGAAGGATATCAATAGCAGAGCTGATCTGGCCTTGAAATGAAAGTTTATCTGATGTCAAAAGGAAGCAAAGCAGAGTAACACAATTACAGGTGACTGTGTTTGAATCTCTTTGTTAGCTGACACTGAGGAGGGGAGTTTTCTAATACTCTTAGTATCTCTGCTGCTTAAAGTGATAATTGCTTAATTTGTTTCTAAGTGGCTCACAGAACAACAGCGCATAAAAAGTACTTATTTTTGAATAATGATCTGCAGTTAACATATTCAGGGATATAAATAATAATTTTGCCCAATAACAGCCTTCTTAAGTACTACCTAGCTCAAATGAAGTTTCGTACTCTAAAGGACATACAATATCTTCAACTGGCACACTGCTGTGGTTTTCTGAAACTGATAGAGCCATCTTGGTTCAGATTTAAAATATATAATGAAGCCCTAAATCTTTATAAGTATGAAATTCCAAATTACAGATATGTGTATTTTGTACATTTATCCTAAATACCCATTAAAGATCTATGAGGGGCCAAAGTATCCTTTTCATCTCACTTACCACCCAAGCTTTACATTTAAAAAAGAAAGAGTATCATGACATATGATCACAATCTTACACTGCAAATAGCATGTCAGACACTGCAAATTACATGCATTAAATCACTCAAGTTACTGTTAAGCGTAATTAAAAAGAAAAAAGAGTTTCCAGGAGATGTCTGATTTATAGCACTCCTTAGAAACTCCAACTTAGTGACTAGACTCTAGGTTTCAGATTACTTGATTCCCTCTTCCAATTCCAAATCACACTCTTCTTCTGTCTTTCCAACAAATGTCAGTGCAGTTCCTGTTTTCCTCAAGCTGTGTTCTGCATACTAGACCCCCTGGGTTGTTCATGTCCTTTTTTTTTTCAAAAAATGTGTTTTCCCATTTAAAAACAAGGTTTACTCTTTTATCTCTAACCCTTCAAGGCCCCAAAAGGTTCAAGCAATCATGCCTCTTAATTATAACACCTCACACTACCCATCATCCCTCCTTGTCAGCATTCCTCTGTAGTTGGACACAAATATGTCTTTTGCCCATCTGCTTTGGTCTCATGTTTTTGATTTCCTCAAATAAATCCATCATCCTAAAAACAAAATCTGTATCAATGTTTTATCTTCCCTTTAGTCAATAACTTAAAATATTAAATAATAAAGAGCTTTTCCATTGAAATGCTTATGGCTG